GCGAGGACCACTTAAATTTGGTTTGCCAGTCACATGGCCACCTGCCCAGGCCTCTCCAGTCACATGGCCACCTAGCCATGCCCAGTCAAAAAGCCACTCCTACCCCAGTCACATGACCACCAAGCCACACCCACAAATTAGGTTACGCCCACAGAACCAGTTGTTAAGAAATTTGAATCCCACCCTGATTTAGTATCATTATTAATAAAAATGTTTCTTGCTTAGGTTCTTCTGAAATTTAACAAATATATGCTAAGTTGAAAGCAGGTTGCAAGAGCCTACCAAAACATTTAAACTTTCTGTACAGTTAATATATTTTGTCTTGGTACATTCCCAGACTAAAACTGTTTTAATCTAAACATTCTTGTTTCTGTGATAGCATTTTATTTCAACAAAGGCAGGTACTTTAGTCTGCCAATGAATTTGATTTATCATTCTTTCATAACTTGAGAACAAGTTCATGAATTCTAGTCAGTTCTCCAAATAACTTTTGCCTTTTAAAAAGAAATGACTCGTGGAGTGAAAAAAAAATATTAAGAAATGTCATTAGTGAAATTCATAGGATTTTTTTACCAAACTCTTTTAACACTGATTAAATTACAGAAACTCTTTCCTTTCTGATACTAATGACTAAAACTTCCACCTGTAACGAGCAGAAGTCAATCTAACAAAAATGAAAACAAAAGTTTACTTCATATATTTTATAGATGATTCAAATACCCAAGGTAAGTTGCACTAAAAAAATACCTAAGTGCCATTAAAAAACTTTTGCTGCCCTCATTCATTACCTTTGAATTTAAAGATTATGTAATGAACTAAGTCCAGTGGAAGAGGATGAAAAGGATGAAACTGCTTTATAAAATCCTCATCTGAAAGCATCCTTGACTTAAGACAATTGAGCCCCAAATTTCCATGGCTCATTAAGGGAGTTTTTAAGTGAGTTTTGTCCCATTTTATGACTTTTTTCCACAATTGTTAAGCAAATCATTAAAACTGTTAATTAAATCATGCATTTGCTAAGTGAATCTGGCTTCCTCCATTGACTTTGCTTGTTGAAAGCTGGCTGGGAAGAATGACAAGAATGACATTTCAAACAAGGTTGAAAATGACAGACCAATCTCTTTATGCTATATCACCTGCAAAGTCATGGAATCAATTATTAACCAATCCATTATCCTCCACTTAGAGACAAACAAACAACTCTCTAACAAACAATTTGGTTTCAGAAAAAAACTATCCTGTAATCTGCAACTCTTACACTGTAAAAACATGGACTACATAACTTGATCAGGGCAAAACACAATTTACATAGACTTCTGTAAAGCCTTTGATTCAGTGGTACACAACAAACTACTCCTAAAACTAAAATCTTATAGTATCTCTGGATACCTGCATAACTGGACAGAAGCATTCCTGTCAAACAGGCAACAAATGGTCAAAATTGGGAGTGTCCTATCAAATCCTGTACTTGTCAACAGTGGTGTCCCCAAGGCAGCGTTCTAGGACCAACTCCCTTCATACTCTACATAAATGACCTCTGTGATCATATTAAGAGCAACTGCATTCTTTTTGCTGATGATATAAAACTATCCAACACTACTGACGATACTGCTACCCTTCAAAAAGACCTCGACTATGTGTCAGAATGGCCAAACAAATGGCACCTTTAAATCTCAACAAATAAATGCTCTGTCTTACATGTTGGCAAAAAAAATCAGAAAATAAAATACAGGCTGAATAGTCAAGACCTTGTTGATGACACAAACTTTGTCAAGGACCTTGGAGTACTCATCTCTAATGATCTAAGCGCTAGAGCCCACTATAACTACATAGCCAAAAAGGCATTAAGAGTTGTTAACCTAATCTTACGTAACTTTTTCTCTGGTAATATCACACTATTAACTAGAACAAACAAAACAGTTGCTAGACCAATACTTGAATACAGCTCATCAGTCTGGAACTCGCATTACATATCTGATATTATTACAATTGAGAAAGTCCAGAAATATTTTATGAGAAAAGTCCTCCACTCCTCTACTCGTAGCAGAATACCTTATGCCACCAGACTTGAAATTTCAGACCTAGACAACCTAGAACTACGCCACCTTTGGTTTGATCTAAGTATAGTACATAAAATTATATATTGCAATGTCCCACCAGTCAATGAATACTTCAGCTTCAACCAAAACAATACAAGAGCACACAATAGATATGAACTCAAGATAAACCACACCAAACTTGATTGCAGGAAATACGACTTCAGCAACAGAATAGTCAATGCTCTACCTGACTCTGTGGTTTCTTCCCCAAACCCTCAAAACTTTAACCTTAGACTCTCTACTATTGACCTCATCCCTTTCCTAAGAGGTCTGTATAAGTGCACAAACATGCCTACCATCCATCCTATTGTTTCTTTCTTTCTTATTCGTATCCATTTCATGTATTTATAACCATGTTTATACTTATACCTGTTATCTAATAATCGTTTGACAAAATAAATAAATAAATTTGTTAAGTGAATCTGACTTCCTCCATTGACTTTGCTTGTTGAAAGCTGGCTGGGAAGAATGACAAGATACATATTCTAGCTGCTAATGGAAGCCAAACCAATTGAAACTACCTTTCACTTCAGCAGAGGAAAAGATAAAATTTCAGTTCCACTTAGGAGCAATTAAAAATACCATCCCATTTTAAAACAGTAAAAATCTGTTCTATTTTTCTGTCAAAAAGAAAGACAAAGGAGCAGGATTATTATGTTAATGACGGCAGCAAAAATAATGTCACTATTTATTTCGGCAGAGCTTAACTTATTAAATGAACCAAATGTAGTGAAGGTTTGCATCACATCCAAAAGACATCCTCAACTCCAGAAGCCTTTCACTTTGTTTTGCAGTGGGCCAAAACAACTTCCCATTATCGCTATTCAACTGTCCATTCATCTATCCTTCCTCTCGCTTCCACAGATGAACCTGAACACCTGTTAAGGAACGTCCGGGCGCCTATCTCGCGCAGTCCACTGGGCAAGCGGCTCCCCTTGCAGTTACATGCCCGCCGCCTTTCCCGGCCGGGGTCCTCCACATTCCCAAAGGCAATCGCCTTTCCTTTGTGGCTCGCTCGCCTTGCCCTCGAATGGAAACAGCAACTGTTCCTCGTGTTTACTTGCGCTTACCAAGAACCTTGTGGAGCTGGTCCCTTGGTCGATGGCTCCCACTAGGGGACCCATCGCTCCCTTCTGGGCCACAACCGCGGCCATAGGGAGGCTCGGTCGGCGCGCCCCTGTCCCGTTTCCTAGGCGACCCTGCCCGAGCAAGAAGCGGCAGAGAATCCAGAGGCTCTCACGCCGGCGCCCTCAAAGCCAAACGCGCATGGTTTCTCAAAGCAAAGACTGAAGGCGGAGAACAGGGGGCTGGCCCACATACGAGCGCCCTGTTCTCGAGCGCCAATCAGCAGGCAGACTGGAGCAAAAGAGGGCGGAGTTTTTCACCAAGCGCAGGAAATAGGTGAAAGGTTCGGGAGTGGACAATTGCCTCTGAGTCGGTTGATCACATGCCTCTGACGTGTCTGGTGGGCTGAAACCTGAAAGGTTAATTCGAGCTTTCCTGGAAGTCGCTGTCTTGGATTGCAAAATGCTGGGGAGAGAATCATTGCCTCCTTGACAGGAATTTAGAACGATTTCCGCGTTCCTCTGCCTATTGTGAAATAATTCGTCATTCCAGTCCGTCAAGAGGCAACGCGATCTCCCTTTCTCCTATGCTGAAAGTTACAAATCTTTGCACGTTTACTTGGCAGTAATCGTTACCATTAAAAAATCTTTACGACTTTTTCTGGTGAGCAAGCGAGGAGCTCTACTTTAATTCCTGAAATGTCATCAAAGGTTGTGTAAAAGGTTGAAGTTTATCACATATCTATATTTTTGGATATAAGCATTTCTACAGCATGCGATCAAGAATAGTTAAACGGATCAGAATTTGGAAAAATGAAACATTTCACAGCATACACCGTTACTGAGGATAGTATTCTGAAACAGAAAGCAATAACACTTGTCCCCATTCGGCCACCTCTAATCCCTGAAGAAGATTTTGGCAAAGCTTTCGGATGAAAATCATTTCTCAATAAAAGACACATTTTAGCAATGAAAGATGAGTTTAACTGGCTTTATTCCTAGAAAGGTGACTTTAGGAGCTGCAAATTCAGGATGTGATCTTATAATTGTCCTTAAAATTAAGCACATTTATAAATGTGTACTATTTATATATTAAGAAAACAGACTGGTAGAATTGTTAAGGAATAATTTGAGTCCCACTATGTGAAATAACATAGGCTATTCAACCAATTGATGTGATTAATGCTAAAAAAGGAACTACAAGGTAATTGAGCATGCAGATACTGCAAAACTGTTACAACATTCTGAATATTGCTACATCTCAAGACTACCAGGTACTGTAGGGTTAATTTTGATCGTGATCTATACTGAAAATCACAAAACTAAACTATAGTTTTCCACCTTTGTTTAAACAAATGAGAGCACATACTTATTAAACCCAACAATAAGGCTTTTTATTTCATTTTGAGAACAAGGGCAATCAAAACTAGACATGTTCAAACAAAATGCTGTTCAGAATTGCTTAAGTTTTTGCTCCTATTTAAAAATGTTTCAGTGCCTAAGAAGAAGGCATTTGATAAATCAAGAGTAATATGATGGCACTGTAGCTAAAGTAGATAACTACTACCCTAAACTTGAATTAGTCAGTCCCACATTTTACTGTTTTAGCAATAGCATTTGTTGCCCTCACAGAACATGGAATTTTAGCATTTGTTTACATTCCACCACTAATGATTACATCTTTAAATCCCAAGATAGACAAATTACTATATAGCATTTTGCCAGTATTCAAAGCTTTCTATTTCATATTTCAAAGAAAATAGTGCAATTGTAATAAAGTCTTATATCAGGGTTTTTCACAGAATTAACTACTCACTGTTATGTTCCTACCCATATCTGTTACAGAAGTAGAGGATACTTGTTATATGTTCTGGACCAGCAGTCACCAACTGGTGGCCCGCTGCCCACTGGTGGGCTATGAGAAAATTTTGGTGGCCCACAGAGAAATCTCACCCCCAGAGCACCCCACATGAAGCAATTAATCCAGGCTGCACAGAAACACAAGGCTGCGCTGCCCACATGGCCCGCGGGAACCCTCCCCACTAACTCACTCCTTACCCGGCAAACTTGTCTGCTAAATTCCTTTTTTTTCTTTTTCTGAACATCAGCTGTTCTGTTGTGCCAGGAAATTTAGATTAGTTAGGAAGCAGGAAGTGGTTGAATTTCTTGCTTTCTAGCTAGTCTTTAGATCTTCGGCTCTGCTTTTAAGTACAGCCAAACCTCCCTTAGGACTGAAGGTTCTATTATTTAGTACAAACTCACGGCAAGCAAATTTGAGAAACTGGGCTAGCCAATGGCAGATAGATACAGAGGTGGTATTCAGCTGGTTCACACCGGTTCTAGCAACCCAGTAGCAAGAATTTGGCATGGGTCGTGGAACTGATAGCAACTTTTGGTTGGCCACGCCACTGAACTGATTCCCCAGTTGCTCAGTTGCCCCACCCACCTGATGCTCACTCGTGCAGCTCGCCCACTACTTGCCCCACCCAGTCACTTCCTATGTGGCACTCTGGGCCCTTGTGGCTTGCCTAACCTGACTTCCCCATGTGGTGCCTGCACCCCAACTGAGCAGCCGTGATCTGCCTGCCCTGCTCACAGGTAAGCCTGTGTTGTGCTAGGCCCTCGCCCACCCCCTGGGGCCTTTCCAGGCTTCCCCCCACCACCCAGGACTTTCCAACCCCAACCCCAGCACAGCAGAGAAAGAAAATGGAAAGGCTTTCCATTTGTTTTCTCCCTGTCTTTTGGGGTGCCCCTGCTGCTGCCACTGCCCCTCTCAGCCTTAGATCCAGCGCAGCAGAGAAAGTGAACGGAAAGGCTTTCTGTTTGCTTTCTCTCTGCCTTTTGGGGCACCCCCACCCGCCGCCTCCGCCTCCACCCCTCTCAGCCCTAGCCCCAGCGCAGCAGAGAAAGCGAATGGAAAGGTTTTCTGTTTGCTTTCTTCCTGTCCTTCAGGGCGCCCCTGCTGCTGCCACCGCCCCTCTTAGCCCCAGCCCCACACAGCAGAGAAAGCAAACAGAAAGGCTTTTGCTTTGCGAAAAAATGGAAAGGCTTTCTGTTCACTTTCTCCCTGCCTTTCCGGGTGCCCCAACCCGCCTCCACCACTGCCATCACCCATGTGCCTTGAAAGGGAGGGTGGATGGATGTTCCGGGGCTGCTGCTTTCTTCATTGTCCTGCCGCTCACTCCTCTGGAGTTTGCCCAATAAGTTCTTCCCAGAAAAGGTGTGTGTGTGTGAATCAAGGGAGGAAAGGGAGGAAGGAAGGAAGGGAGGAAGGGCGAGAAGGAAAGAGCAAGAAAGGAAGAAAGAGCAAGAAAGAAAGAGGAAGGGAGATAAAGAAATAAAGAGGAAAAAAGAAGGAGAAAGAAAGAAAGATAGGAAGAAAGAAAGAAAGAAAGAGAGGAAGGGAGAGAAAGAAAAAGAAAGAAAGGAAGAGCAAGAAAAAGGAAGGGAGAGAAAGAGAGAAGGAAAGAGGAAGGGGGAGAAAGAGAGAGAGAGAAAGAAAAAAAGAAGAGAAAACTCTGTGCTATTATTTTTAATTATTCCATTACTTATCATATATTAATATTTTACACTGTCTGTACACCTAGAGTGATTTTATTGCCTTTCTTTTGCCCAGGTATTTTTCAGGGTTTACATGTCAGTAGTCCAGAGCATAAATACAGGTGTGTTTAACAGTTGAAAGAGACTATGGAGATCTTCTAATCCAACCTCCTGCTCAGGCAGGAAAACTGAGGGTGCCAAATTCTGAGCAGAGGTCCTGGGAAAGGTGTCAGAATAATTGAATGGCACTTAGAAGGGACCTTGGGGGGAACTCTATACTATTTCAGAGAAATGGTTGTCCAATCTCTTCTGAAAAACTTCCAGAGTTGGAGCACCCAGAACTTCTAGTGGCAAGCAATTCCACCAGTTAATTGTTCTCACAGTCAGGAAGTTTCTTCCTACTTTTAGGTTGCTTCTGTCTCTGTTCAGTTTCCATCCTGCTTTGGAAAATACATTGTTTGCCTTCTGGTGCTTTGGAAAATACATTGCTCCCCCTCTTTCTGGCAGCTCCCTAAAAGCCTGTTTCCTATCACCCTCTTGGGCAAAGCATGTGAGCCATTTCCTCCTTTCAGTGGTCCATAAAAGTACATCTATAGTACCTAGATAATAAAGTCAAAAAAAGGTGAACAACATTTTTACAGAACCCAGTCACATGACCACCAAGCCATGCAGCCAGTCATGTGACCACCCCAGTCACATGGCCACAAGTCATGCCCACCCAGTCATGTGATCCTAAGCCATGCCTACTAACTAAGCCATGCCCACAGAACTGGCAGTAAAAAAATTTGAATCCCACCACTGGATAGATAGATCACTGAATGATTCTTTACTTTATTTGCGGTCACAGACCAAAACACAAGTACAACAAAAGAAGAATGTGGGAAAATTAATCATGAACAATTGGTCACCAAAAACTTGACTAAGGGGAATTACAGCGTTCTTCTCTGATGGTTACAGCTCTTAAAAATATTCGAAACCTGAGAAGTGATATATGAGGAGCCATCCCCTAGTCAATATAAGAACAAATTACTAACATTGGGTCTAGAAAGGTCTGTTTCAAGGAGAGACAGTAACTTAGATCTGCCTGTGTCATACATAGGGCAATATAAAAGGACATACTCCACAGTTTCAACCTCAGCTCTGTCACAGGGGCATAGCTGCTCATTAATTGGGAGCCTCTTAAATCACACATTCAGTAGTGCTGAGGGCAAGACATTAAAAGCGAGCTAGGGAGAAAGCTCTTCTATACTTGATAAAAATAGGAAGCCATCCTCAGTCCGTAATTATTAAATTGGCTGAAGATCAGAGGGGAGCAAGTTTTGTTAGCTCTGGCTCATAGATATTGCAAGTCAACATCCACAAGACATTGGACTACCCTAAATTGGGTGTCCTTAAGGCCATAATCTCCCAGGGCATCCCCCGTAAAAACTAGCAGGTGTAATTTCTTCATCAGCTCCCTCTCCCAATGAGAAATATGAGAGTCAGCCAACGCCAGGGAGAGGTAGCTACCAGGAACTGCCAGAAAGAGCCCCCGAAACCACCATTTAAAGGTGTTAATCCACGCCATACATTCGACTGATTGAGTGTCCAGTTCCAACCAACACAAGGAGGAAGACCCAGAAGTTTTCTAAGAAAGACAGCCTGGGTTCTTTCAATACAATCCTTGAAGCCCCGTATCTATATGGGAATTCCATAAAGAGTTTGAGCC